AGTTAGAGCAGCAGTAAATTTATCCTTAATGTACTTGTTCCTCACTTTCCTCTATACTTATCTTGGACACCTAAAAATGCATTTAACGAGTAGGTTATTTTCTCACCCACAGTAGTGGTGTACTAGTGTTGGTGGATTTTAAATGGGACGTGATGTTTGGTGACTTATGAATACTAATTGCACAAGAATACGTGTTTGCTTTTCTACTTTTCAAGATATCGGGCCTCAAGAGGACATGCTTAACAACTTTCTTACATCATACTCTGGTTGTTAAAAAATGTAGGAAGAGAGATGAGTAGAGTATGTCCGGTTGGATTCGATTAGACTATTTTCCGAGATAGGAATTGCATGGATATATCGGATTGTACAATTACATGTGACACATTCGCAAGGTTTGAATTCAGCCTACCATCTGTTAGTGTGTGTAGAGAACCGCTGACCAGCCTATCACTAAGCAGAGCGCATACGCGGCCGCATTGATCAAAGAACGCTCTGCACCTTTGCAACCTAGGTACTCCGTCATTCATCATTAAGCGAGACTTCTGCCTGCAGAGTCAATACCCTCCATAGATTTCCCGCAGTTTTGTTTGTCTATACCTATTTTCTTGTCGTATAATGAATGACAATTAGGCTGACTTTAAATGCAGAACAGTCTCCTTTTCTGTCCCAAAATGTAGGTGTTGCAATGGAACCAGGCAGTTGTAAAAAATGCAGTCAATCCTGTAGTTCCTGAGAAGTGTACCGGAAAAATGTATCTCGCTCCTTTTCTAAGTATACACCAGTATTCATTAAATATCTGATTAACTGCACGTTTGATAAATTGGCCTTTGCTTGAAGGGCGCACCTTAATATAGGTCGATTTTATAAAAGACACTTGGGGTAGCTCCCAAGGGAAGGTTTTGTGCTTACCATTCTTAGGCCTTTTTTACAAGTCTATATCTCAAGCGGGTGGTGTCTACTTTACCCCAGAAGCTGCAAGAAAAACTTTGAGAATGGGTTTTCTTTGAGCATATAACTATGCTGCATCGAATGCTCGAGTGTTTTCAAATTTATCCTAGTTTTGGCTTGCATTTCGTGCACTTGGGGAATGCAATTTTTGGGGTCTATAAATCAGACCTACCGATTAAATAGCCTGAAAGCATAGGCTAATGCAAGATTCGGAGACGGTTAATCAGAACATTACCTACCTATGCTTGTGTGCAGTCCTGATGGCATTAAGCACATTGACTTGTAAGCGGTAAATTCTGTTTCTGTTATCAATGTCCCTTGTAGCACCTGTTGAAACATATTTTTGCCTTTCAAATGACAAATAAATTAAACGAGTGTTTAGGCTTTTTGCGGCCTCAGTGAGGGAAAATGGAGAAGTGGTGGATGAAAATGTACTACGATCATTTGTGCAGATCGCCTGATTTACCTAATATATTCTTTTGCCTGTTTGTGACTACTATCTCTTATACTTTACAAGCAATAAAAAGGGTTCGGTCGTCTCCATTTACTAGGATTAGACATGCGATAACAAGAGTTGATGTACTTGTGGGTGATGCGGTGGTGGACCGGTGCTACAACGCCTATACCCATGAAGTTAGTTCATCAATCGCTCACCCCGGAATTGGAAGGATATAATCTGTCCGCCGTGTTTCGCTTTTCAGGAAAAATAATTAGTGCCAGATTAGATCATAATTTTGCCACAAGCCGGAGTAAGATCTATTTTTCACCCGAACGATTTTTACCGAGGCGAAGGGTTAAAATGGATTTTGTTATTTTTAAAAGGATCTCTGTGCGTCAAGAATGCGAAGTGCAGACAGAGACCAATCTGTGAGATAAATGGCTTTCACATAGGCAAAAAAGAAGTTGAAGTTGCGCCTAGCACAGACAAGGACTGAGTTCTGTAATGTTCTTAATGAGTTTTGCCACTTCTAATCATTTCTCTCATGTTCTAAAAAGGGGAAGAGAAATACATTTTGCTAACTTTGCAGGTATGGATCAGGTGCTTTAGCATTCCTATTGATGCAAGTTACTCCACAAGTATCTACCTACAAAAGTTGAGAAGGTGAAGCTCTTCCACCTGCTCCACTTTTTTTGGGGAAGTTATGAATATCCATTTGCATGTCAATGTGACCAAAAAGAGAAGTAGTGAATTAGGTGAAATTTTTTTTGGGCTAAAGTTTGCTAGTCATGCTGATGCCCCTAATAAAAAATGTTTTATTTTCTAAGCATTTACCTGTTATGAAGCAGGGATAGTGGTGGAAATTATGAACGACTGCCACATCAGCATCAAGACGCTGAAAATGAGGCTAATCTAACTCAAATTGAGTTTAGGGGGCCCTCATTCAGCATTTGAAAGTCCTTCTGCACAACCGTCCTCAGGGAATAAGGACTTTGTTTCATCATACTTTTCTGTGGCCCATCTATTGCTGCGCGACACTTTGAGTAAGAGACATACTGACCTGTAATTCTTGATATCCATATCAAATTTTTACACATGTTAAGATAAATTGAACGCAAACTTAGGAGTCTACTGTTGCTTGCGCGATTTTTAATCTGTAGACTACTTTGTATCATGTGCAGGGATGTAATGGCAACGCCAACTGCATATCGCTCTCATCTTATACAACATTTTGAGATTGAGGTTGCTGATTTTCGATTTTGCCATTATATGGATTTCCTAACGGAAGCATTCACTTTGTTTTATAGACTCCTATGAAAGTGGACATGTTCAAATTCAATATGTTGTTTTTAGGGCCTGGTTAATTAGTATAAAATAAAATGACGAATCGAGGTGAAAGCGTTCACTGGAAGCGAATCTCGCGATGAGCGAAGGCCATTTACCACTTAAAAAAAAGGAACCCTGGACAAGCATATCCATAATAAATGGACCTGCTTCCTAATATTACCAGTTAATAATATCATCATATCATGGGAGAGAAGGCCGAAGTTAAACAGATAAAACCTGAAATTATTGAATTTATCACTTAATAAACAATTAAAAGAGGGACATTTCAGAAACGTACATGAATTTCTGAAGTTCTCCTCATGACTGAGTGCAGCCCAAAGTATATTGCCATTTATAAAACACGGACATGATGCCAAGTTACTTCCGAGTTGATACTGAAGGGACCATTTTAATAGACATTAATTGGGCCTCACAGTGTCCATCGGACTTGTATTCCAGAGAGTTTTATGCACTGCGTATTTTACATGCCGATACTTTGACTGCTGGCTATCACTTTTCTTTAATGAACTCATTTTGTCACATTTGTTCGGAAATTTTTTCGTCAGTCTCAGTTAAGCCATCAAGAACATACTGGCAAATCTGGAATTGCATAGTTGAAAGACTATTCCCCATAGGCAATGTATCAGGGCGATTGGTACTCGACATATGCATTTTCAAGCGCCGTCTCGCCTTGGTACTGTGCTGACTAATGTCTGATCCAAATAACTATGGTACATATTACCTCCCGTTTCTGATTACTTCATCGCAACAAATTAATTTTTGCCGAATGTCCCGAATTACTTAAATTTCCTATTTTTCAATCATCAGGCAACATACTCCTTCACACAGTACTTTAAAGGTACATATTCAACTTACGTTTTCAACTAAATCAAAGAAAATGCATCGGCTTTAGTTAATTCTAGGACCCTGTTAGTGGATTCACTCCTCCCATAATTTCTTCTTACCATTAAATGGCACCGTCAAAAGTAGATGCATCCAATATCTTCAAAGTCTGACCAGGCTGACATTTTCTGCTTGATTCGCTTACTCAGTAGTATTTAGTATTGAAACAATACGCACAAATTACTGCTTAAATTAAAAGGGCAGCAAATGTTGTAAGCAAGACATGATGTGGACTAGAGTGCCTCGCAAAATCCACTTACTTAATTCATCAAAGATGCAGAACGTAAATAAATCGCGGGAATTAGACCATCTTGTCCCAATAAAGAATCTATTTTGTGAGATTTTCCATCGTTAATATATGCATTGCCGATCCACTGCACTTTCAGCATAAAAATGCATCCACACCAAGGGCTGTGTAAAAAGATCCAATTCGTTAACCTGCCAGGAGAAAAAAAGGGTCGTTAATAGGCCAATATAGCAGAGGATAGTTCGTGTTAGTCAGCTACTCCTTCGTCAAATTGCAGGTGGTGGTTGAATTATTCACCGAATGTTATTATCCATATACCATATGATCTTTTTGACACATATTTTTACATGTTAACTAATACGCGCCTTTAGCACGCTTACACGGCTTAGCTAATCAGGTCAGTAGTATTGGTCGTTCTTTTTTACCATCTGTTTGCATATTGTAAGTCAAATCGCTGCTCTAAAATCACTTTACCTGTATCCAGACTTGACAAATCGCCTCAATCAAACATCATACCTTAGGGTTTGCACAGATACTTTATCCACTTTCTCTTCACCCCCATCAGAGCCTACATGTCAGTTCAACTCAATTAAGCCAATGAAATTATTTGAAGTGCTCATTCCTCTTGCATAGGATTGCTTAAACTTTAGTCCCTTACTCCATAGTGATTGCTTACTAAACAGATTTGCAGCACATTTGGCCAAAATGACCAGCGTAAAACTATGCACATGACTAATGGTTGCAATTAAATTCCTTCCTCCCCATTTACCGCCTTTCGATGGGTCCGAATGCATCATGTTCGTTCAAGCAGTATGGGTCTCATTCACCAGATATAGCTTCAGTTTTGTTCATAAACTTCTCAGGTGTTACTCAAAACATCAACTTCATGGGGTTTAGAGTATTGTAAACTCCATCGCGCCCCTTCACACATTCTGCGTAAACAAAATCTAAAGGTAGTTATTTAACCTCATCAACCCTGTCACTTGCTCCTAACGCAATTTTATGTAAATGTAAATTCTAACTAAAGAACGATCCTGAGTCTGATTACAGTGGAGGTAAAAAGTCATGCCTGAAGAAAAAATCTACTGACTCACCGTTTTGAAATAAGAGTGCTGAAAGCATCGAGTCATATTGCATATGGTGGACTACTGGAGGAAAGGACGACAGCGGCATGTTAACCAGTTGCCACGCGATCAAATGAATTACTTTCTAATCGCCCTCATCAATCTCCAGTCTGTGTTGCATTATGAAGATTTCGGTTGTGAAAAATCAACATTGAATGAATGAGTGGTGCAGATTTACTTTTTCACTTGAAGCAATAATTATTTGACATTTTAGCTCCATACTTTTCTTCATGCATATCGCGGGCAGTAGAGAATGCTTATCATATGTGGGTCAAGTTGCCATCAAACGTAATGTAGTGAATAGATCAAAATCAAAATAACCACATTCGTGTACATTGCACTGCGTAACTCGCATGTTATATCATCTCAGCTAGAAGGAATTGCTACATATTTCCTAAGTCTTGCTACTCGTTTCGGGTAAATTATGTTTTTTACTCGGATCTCAGATGGGAGGTAGCATTCTGGTGTTGATTACACAGTTATGTCGAGGGCACCAGTCTAAACATTGGTATAGTCAATCCCAAGTCTTTCCATGCCTAATGTTCCGACATGAACTAAATGCAAAGATGGACGTGTAAATGCAGTGGAAGACTAAGTGGCAAATTACTTGCAGTTTTTATACCCTTACAAACACAACATTCACGTTTGGCCTCCATACCTTCCCGTAAGTAATTCCTTCACTTTTCTTTTTCCTTCCAGGAGCTGTGCACAAACACCTATTCTCTTCATTGTTTCCAACGAGGTTAGTGCTTGACGCTTCATGCTCAATATAAATTTTCTTGCCATCAGGTGGAGATATAAGTGTTTAACTAATGTAAATATAGCTAGCAGTTTACGTTGCGCTGCCTTTCCTGCCTCATACTTTGTCTCGTTTGGTACAACAATTCATAACCGATAGCATTTTTCCTTTTTTGTTGTTTATTTGTAAGCGTGCACTATCCACCCCAACATTGCTACTGTCAGTACCCAGCTTGAATGATAAGTTGCATGGTTGAACTTCGACATTGCAGAATTTGTTATTTTTTATGGGTATAAGTTGATTTATGGAAAGCTCATTAGGATGGAATTTGATTGCTCTCTACGTAATACTCGTCGTTTTTTCCCGATTTATGCAGTGATGTGTAAACTTTCTATCAAGTTCTAACATATTCCAGGGCAGTGCAGAGTTATTCTGCATACTGCGGAATATATGAGAGCGAACATTAGATAGCAATGATATCCGTTAATGGAAGTAAAACTTGAGTTTAAGTCTTGTGCCTTTATGTCACATTTTGCAGTTCCCATCGTCCACTGTAATGGATTTGGCATTAGTCCCTAATATCGGTCGCCACTTTCTTGGACTGAGTAAGCTAATTAGACTAAGGTTGCGTTTTGGCAATATTAAGAACGAGTTCTAGCGAACAGCACTATGCTTGTTTAGAATACGCGCCTTCATCAAGAGTTAATGGCGACCATTCCATTACGAAATTCATACCCACTAAGCGCTCCTAGCCTATAAGGTGTAAACAAGCAAACATGTATTATCGACATAAGTGTTCACTTTCACGTGAAATAATGAGTTGGGAAATGCAAACATTGGAGCGACAGAATGCCATGTTTGATTTCTAATACAGTGTTGGAGCTGCCCTAAGTAAACGTATAAACTTCTGCTGCATTTTACGTAACTTGATTGTTGATTTAATGTGGATGGAAGAAGTTGCTACATAATTCCTGCTGCCCCTACTCCAAGCATGATTTGGAGATGACGTAATTTCAAGTCCTCCTATGCTGAACGTCCGTATGGACTGTGTCAGACGCCGGGATATACATGTGAATGAAGCTAAAGTCAGTGCCGAAAAAATAGTTGCTCGCCTAGGCTTCTCATTAAACTAGGTACAGTTCATTAACTATACGATTAATACTCCAAGTGCGTATGCACACAATTTACGCAAAGACATCCGCTCAAACAAATGGCGTCAGCCACCACTAATGCCACTCTATTATCGGTTGGATTTGCCTCACGCATCCGTTCTGGTCATTGAGTCCATTTACCTTCAAAATGCCATCACAAATTCACCTTATTTATTTCAGTCTGTGTAATCATAGACATCTGTGATTTACCACTAAAGTGTTAATTGCATTTTTAATGAGGGCGTTTAAACAGTTTTACTGCTCTACATCTGAGTGCAAATTTTCCTTACTGTAATAGCTTAAACTATTGTCGTATTTATATCGCTCCATGGTTATGTCGGAAGGTCTTAACAAGTTTGGGAGATAGCCAGAGAATATCGGGGACAGAAAATGATATTTTTGTGACAAGGTACCACAAAAAGGCTGTTTCAACCCACATTTACTAGACAGGAGACAGGCTAGAAAATCTCTACACAAATTTATTAGGGTTGAGTTGAACAAAAACAATTTGTCTTAACATCATGAAGAGGACCGCTTTAGAGAGAGTTAACCTATTTGCGTATGTAGCAAGGCACAAATCCCTATCTCAAATGTTGTAAAATTACATCCGTTTGTATCATCAGATCAACTATTCTTCCATTGGTGCACTGACTGCAGACCCGACTTTTATGTCACCGAGATGCAAAAAAGTAGCACTTTATTTAAAATATCGCTTGTGCAGACCGGGTGTACCATAGCGTAATAAAGCGGAAGGGCTAAAATAAAATTAAGATAATGCTTTAGGAGGAGCTGACGTTTTTTAAGTCGGGATGACATAATCGGATGCATAAACCTCTGGCGCAGAAAACGAACTAGTAAAGGAGTTAACAGCTGACATACGGTTGCCTGGTCAGCGCTCCGAGTGGGAGAGACGCTGGGTTGTACAAACACGTGCAAATTCATTAATTGGTTCCATGCTGATCGACCTTGACGAAGAATGAGACAGTCGTGCACGTAAACTGTTTGGTCAGGGTAAATTTCGGTTCAGCTAGGAAGTTGACAGGAGTATGATAGTGGAAGATTTCACTTGACAAAGGCAACATCGTAAATGCTATTTTGGAGTTTGTTTATGAGTGTTGCAGTTGCTAGGGGTTGCGACACAAGTTAAATATTCCTGAATCGCAGGAAAAGTAATTTGGCTGAGGCATGAAAAAATACAACATGTCCTGAAGTGGGTGCATTAACAAAGCTGGCTAAGTGGCCCAACCTTCGGTTAGTGTGCAGTACTTGTTTAAGGAGGATTTGATACGTGATTTGGTCTAACTCAAGAAATAAATCACATTCTAAGTCCTCATTGGTTAAAATGTGTTAAAGATACGTCAAAAAGCCTTTTTGGTGTCAACATAGGATTGCCAATTTAACCAAGCGGGCAACACTTATAATTGGATGATTAAGAGTCACTACGATCCAGTGATTTTCTAATTTTGGTGAACTAAATTGACTCTAACACCAACCGCTTATCAATGGTTTATTCTAACCTTGCAACTGCAGCAATAATCTGCCTAAGTCGAATAGTTGCACAACTATTTAACTATAAAAAGTGCAGTTTGAAGGTTTACAGAATTGGAGGTGCACGACTGCACTGAAATAGACTTAAGAGCCGTAAACTAAAAGTAGCAAGATTACACTTGAATGCCGATGCCGTCTCGCCCATGCATTCCTTTTGCGCCTTTGACCAGCCCCGATGGCAATAATGAGTTTGTACATTCACCAATTTAACATTCACTCTCGAGGAAAAGGTCTCTTAGAACAGAAGCAATAAGCGGCTGCCAGGGCAACAAGTGTAAACAAAGCAAAAATGAGTAAAATTAACAAATATTTACTAAGCTGCCAAAATTTAGTTTAGTTGTACTTACCTCGGTATTTGTACGTATCCGCTCCTACCTCGATTTGAAGGTTTGACAAACTGTGTAATTTTTCTGCATGCAATTTTGTGGGTAGCTCGAAATGAATTACATCTGAATATGGAACGAAGGTCATCTGCTCCTACCGTAGTGCAGTGAACTTACACCTGATCTTTCTTCTCAGATGTTGAGGTACATCTGATATCAATGCTCAACTTAACAAAAGAGCAGAACAAGAGCAAAATGTAGGCAGGGCTTCTTGAATAAATCTCGGTGTCATATGCTCATCCAGCACAAAATTTGCCTCAATTTGCGATGAAAAGTGAGGTGGCCATGGAGACAGCGGAGACGGGAATGGAAGCGGATGCTGGGTGAAACTAAAATGGTAGGGAAATGCAGATCAAAAGAACAAGCATGGGAACACCTTGTGTCATCACCACTGTCATGCCCGTGCCAGCCAAGATCTTGAGGCTAGCTTTGGAAAGCACAGCAGGGGTGACTCTTGATGGCGAAGGCACATTGATACCCCTCAGAGATGACAAATGCAATGGTTATTTCCTGTTTACTCTTTATTGCGACTAGGTGTACTTTCTTTTTCTTTAGGATTTAATTCCATAAAATGGGATTAACAGATTTTTTAATGCATATCAAAGCAGGCCTTTTGTTGTAGGCACTTGCATCTCGCTCAAAAAACATAAAGTTAGGGAGTCTACTAAAGTTATGTGACATAAGTATCTCAAAACTTGTCTTGAAGTTTCAATATTTGACCATGGATCAGCCGCAAAGCTTCAGCATTATGATCCACAATTTTTGGGTCAAATGAATAAAAAAAAATCTGAACCTACGCTTTCCAGACCCATAATATGGTCCATTAGGTTTCGTAATTCAGAGACTTTAGGATCTGATTTAATTACGAGGTCAAATCATCTCAAAAGCATTTAACACTAATAATATATTGTTCTCTACGCACTTCCATCCCCCAAAGCCAATATTTAGACTGGTCCTTCAAACTGATTGAGCCATCTTTATTCGACTTTAGTTCAATTCCACCAAAGAAAGTCCTAAACGGTGATGAAAATTTTGAGAAGAACGGCAAGACTTTTTAGCCGTGCATGATGAAGTCAAATTGTTGCTCTTATTGTATTGCCTCAGCGGAAGCTGTTGTTGCTAATTTTGTCCCCTTCCATTATAACACCTGTTTAAGTTGTACTTGAATTGCATTTGCTGTATACTGGGCCTAGGCGTGCTGAATTTATAGTGCCATCCTTAAACCTTAAATCGTTCCTCTTGAACACTTTAACTGAGAAAAGTATTGACCCACTTGATAGTGAGTACGCTTTAATGGGGTTTCATTTGCTTTATAGCTGTTGCAGTGTACTTCCAATTACGAAGTCGAGTATTTTGATTTTGTTAACCATACTACAATGGCTACGTAGCATATAACAAACTGTGTAATCACATTTCTTCTTTATAGATTAGCAATCATGGGTGTGTTAGTAATCAAACAGCCATGCCTACTGTTTGGACGCACTCCTTGGAGCAGGAGGAAGCATTTTTGCAGTGCTTTACGCCAAAACACACTCTACATCGTCCACTGTTTAAGTCAGGAACCTAGAAATGAGTCAACTCAGTAATTAAGTCCCTTTCTCCTAAGGCAGCGCATGCCTTACACAAATAAGAGCGGGACTAAGCACTTATGAAAGATGTTTGGTTGGTCTAGAAGAAAGTAGTCGCTTTAGGCTTCTAGTTTTAACATTATTTTGTTAAGGTAAACGAACGACAACTCTTTACGCTTTAAGACAATTTTTGCCATCAAAGTAAGTGCTGACTAGGTCACTAGGCAAAGCCAATGTTGTGGTATGTGCCTGAGTTGATAGTTGCTACATTCTTGTATCACCGCTTGCAGCTGATCTAATTATGTTCATCTCTATATTTAAATTTTGTTTGTTAAAATAACCACCAAAGAGCGCAAGCGCTATCGCAGTTATGAGTGATTATGCTGTGAGGTGAGCCTAAACGGAGGAAAATAGACAGCACCTTGCCAATCGCCTTGGGTTATCAGATATACACATGTATAAGCAACGGAAGAGCTAATATGGATTTAATTTCCGTAATATAATTAAACGTTGAAGCTTTGAAGCTGGAGGCAGAGGAAATAACACCCACATTTTACGCCGGTTGTGACAATGGCCTTAAAACGGAGCTGTTGACAATAGCTTTTAATTGACTTCGCACTAAGGGCAGTTATCTCCACTTCACTGTTTATATGAATTTTCGAAGCAGATTCAGGTTTCTTAGGCTAAAAACGTTTTACCATTAGTATATCACCAAGGCCTGAGTTTCTTTTACATTATGTAAGCACACGTAAAATGCTACTAAAGGCTTGCTGTTAAATCACATGACTAGTAATGGCACTATCCCCTCAAACAGTCATATTAGTTAGCACACAACATCGGCTGCCCTTTCCTACCGACTTGTAGCATCACACGCAAATTTTAAGCTCCCATTGTGTAGTGTATTACCAAAAGGACATGCTGTGCTGATTTGCCCTAGTGACAATCCCTTTATTGAGCAAATGGGCTTCTCAAAGTAAACTGTGCTTCTGAGACACATTTATTAAGAAAAATAGCCATATGTAACCTGAGACTTTAAGCGTGGTATAGGATGAGAATCGGTTCTGGTTTGTTGTAGTAGTCATCAAGCTGAAACTGATTCTATTTGAAAGATTCTACTTGCTGAAACTTGGTACAAAGTGGACAGCCTAAATGGAGGAATGTAAGGCAAGTTAGTAGATTCTGTTTCAAATCCATAAAAAGATCTGGCCACCAGACACCGGAAACATTCAGCAATATGGTAATAACCTCCACGATAGGAGTATTTGATGTAGCATCAATTCTACGTACTTAGCAATACTACATTTAATGAGAAAACTAGCTCCCCTGTCCCTTCTAATAAGATAATAGTCTAGAATATTGAACCGGCTTCTCCAGTTTCAGCCGAAAGCAAGTGTAAAAGGTAGAACCAAGCGAAAAATTAATCATCTCTTTGTGGTTCTAAAGACAGCAATTCCACAGAGAGGAAAATAAAAAGAACAACTGGAACTAAGTGTGTATCTAATTTTTACTTTGTTACATTAACGGCGATGTGGCGCCTATTGATGAAGGTGAAAGTACACCTTCAAACATTTTTGAAGCCTTGGGATCAGCGCAAACCTTCGTACTGATATCTCTCGTAAAATGCAAGATAAGTTCGACAAGGTCTATAGCACAATACTCATGAGGTAGATGAAATATGAGTAGGTTGCGGCCTTCAGGGCCACATATCATTGGTTGATGGATACGTCGTTGGTGAATATGTGCGGATTCCGCTTGGGCAAAATTTGATTATCCTCTGCGACCGAAGTCAAAAAGGATTTAATTTATAAAAACAGCTTAAAATGGGCTCTTGAGAACAGACCTAAAGGTACAAATTCACCCAAGCTCCACTGCTGACAGCAGATCGCAGATGTTTCATTAATAGCAGTGGCAGGTATTGCGTTGTGCCTTGACCCATGTGAGAGAATAAGAGGATTTGGGATCAAGCGGGCGCAGAACTAATGCTATCGTCGACACTACAAAAAGTTGTAATGGGTTTTGCAGGGTCAAGTTATTGGCCAAGGCTTCTAGGTGGTGCGGGCTGTGAAAGGTGGCGAACTGCAAGGTCATGGGCCGATTTATCATGGCTAAGTAAACGGCGCCCAGCACCGTGACCGCGTTGTTGGTGATCGGTCCTGAATTGACGTATGCATTAACAGCATAACCCTGCTACATAGAGAGAACATTTACTACGGCTGGCAATACAGCATTAATCAAAGAACTCGCGAATAGAGTGGTGAAAGTGAAAGTGTGTGCATAGCCGATTTGTTATTCCGCTGACTTCATTCGTGTAAACGTCATAGGACTCTAAAATAATTCACTAAATGGGTGCAAGAGTAAGGGAATTTCCCAAAGAGGCTCCAAAGTAAGTAATGAGATTAGAAAATCCCCACTTATCTAATCCTTAATAGATGGCGTATCCAGCTACCACACCTCTCCAACGTGTACCTCCTTATTAGAGTGCAGACTCAAAGTAAATGACAAATAGGCTGATGCAAACCGGTGCTTTATGATGCGTGCAAACTGACAAATATCTCCTCTGTCAAACGATGGGATTCGGATAGCAGCGTGATCTCAAGCCCACATCATAAGACAAATTACAATTGGAGGAGCAACGTGTATCAGGCCCTTTTAATTCTTTAAATCTGCAAACAGGTTCCAGTCATAGGGCATGCAGGTTTCTCCTACTACATGAATGCATTATATACAAAAAATGGACTTAAACTAATGTGTCTGACGTCGACACAAGAGAGAAGGGTGCATAAAATGACTGAAGTGAAATTTCGAAAGAAGTTACAGGGCTGTGATTATTGCTGCAAACTACAGTGAATAAAAGGTTTCCCAATAAACTCATTTAGGACGCATTCCGAGGGTAAAGTACATAATGGCATAAAGTTTGCGCACAGAGGGTGAGCTGTAAAAGATGACTTTTTATCAACAGGTTGCTTGACGGCCGTGAGTTCTTCAACTGCGCTTTAAAAAGAGATAAATGGAGGCAAGGACTAATTTTTCACACTTTTGAAAGTATCACTTTACGAAATCATCGGCTTTTCCAGGTATTACCTGGCACTACATGGCTTTAAGAAAAATTGAATTACTCCTGAAAACCCGAACTGGAAAAATGGCGTTCCATTACTGGTTCTAGGCATTACTATATTGTGATAAATAATCGTATTATTTGCCTGAACCATTGAAATAAAGAGTATAAAAGCATAAGTAATCTAATTTTAAGGTCATTAAGCCCGAAGTATTGCTTCATTGCTGCCAAAATGAAGGTAGATTGGAACAATTCTAATTTATCTCATTAGAGCACCAGCTGGAGGCCCTGGATGTGTCACTTCAAGAGCATGGGGCCAAAATAATTATTAAGCGCATTTCAATTTCAAGTACAACTGCAATACCCAAATTTTGTAATCAGTTTTTGAACACGTCTTCTAGTATATTCGCAATCTTCTAACGCCTTACCAAAGAGTTCACCGTACATGAACTATGGTTCGTTTTTATAATCCTGAAATGACTGAGCTTAGTACAATATCCTTTCGTCGCCACTTTGCAGCAACCATGTAATTTGAGACCTAGTTGATGGCAATATCAAGATATTGTTAAAGAAACCCAATTAATGCGAAGGGGATTAATCTCTTCATTTTTCACCCTTTTCACTTATTTACTGAAGTGCATTTGGATCAGTCTTATCGCACGTCAGCACGTTCATTTGGCGTTGAGATACTTCTTAAGAGAATTACGAATAGTTTATTTCTGATATACTCCATTTTAAATATCCTAGCTGACCTGAGTATGTCCATGCCACTTCCTAAGTTTCGGTAGCTACATTAGTCTTAAATCACAGAAAGTGACATCATAGCTATGCGTGGTTACGCAGTGGGATAAAAGCGCCCAGGTTATGGCCTAAAACCGATGAAAATGGGCAGTACCTAAAAAGGCTTACACATGCTGTCATAATGTAGACGTATATTTTAATATAGGAGTGTTGTAGCATAGAATATGCAGAGGCCAGGGTTAGACTTCATGCTGAATTATCTAATCGTGTACGCTGGTGGTAAATATGCACTTACAGTAGAGCTATTCACCAAGTCCTTCTATTGACTTAGGGCCATGAGAATACAATTTGCACATTAGTGACTAGTATTTCTACTTTTCGGGCAATAAATCGACTTTACCATGTGTGATTTAATATAACTCAGCAAAATACTGGCGAAAATTTGGCTCCTGGAAGCGTTACCGATCTCGACGTTTTTTGAAAATCAGATCCAAACACGTCTGAAGACTCTAAATTTGGTCAATGTAATTTATGAATACAATTACGCTCTCGCTAGATACTACTGATGGCTCCCCATTAAATTACGCTACCGATAGTATCATTTAGCGCGTGATGTCGAATAAAAGTGCTTCCTAGTGTCCAATCCACCAAAAAGAGGACAAAATATATTCAAATGTCTGAGCAACGAGCAGCTTACAGAGCACAGACTAGCTGCATAGCTGTAACACTTTGAATGAAAAATTGGATGTTATCAACGGGAAAGCTGATGTTATATTAGCTTTTTCCAGCATCGGTTTCGACGAGACGAAAAGTGGATCAGGAGGCACCATTACTTGAAACTTGGGATTAGGAAGAAAAATTTAGTTAAAGGAATTAAAAGCAAATTACTGGATTCTCTCACGTATTTCTAAGAAGCACCCGACACTATACTGCGATCGGAAAATTTATAAATGCATCATATCCATGTATTTTCACTATCTTATCAAATCAGAATACTCCCTTCTGTGTTGTTACATGTAATACGGGAATTGTAAAACCGGATCAAGTAGCGAAACAATTCAAGTAGGAACAGGCAATTATATCTAGTTCTTATAGTCTTTATGATGCCATGACTGATGTAAACAGCTATTTGTAGTAAGCCATAATTAAAAAAACAGTTGCCACAACGATCAACTATCATTCCTCCATAACGTTGTCCATTACGCATTTGCATCTCATTATCACCTACATCATTTTAAGAACACAATTTGAAATGGAAAGCATAATTGTCCAAGGAAAATTACTTTTCATCTACATGCAACTGGTGTCGGCAGGAAACGACTGATATATCTAAAGCATTTTCGACTAGGAATGTGGTCTGTTTGCATGAGTTATTGAGGACCTCCCTAGAGTCACAAATGTTATCAAGGTGTGTTACTCTCTTTAACCAGTTAAAAATGGTCATGTCCAAGATAATAAATATGTTTGGTTAAAATTACAGAATAAGTTTACATGACTAGTTCTGAGCAACGTTGCATCGGCAAGGAGGGGTTTAATGCTAAACTGACCATAACAGGAAACTTTTGGTGAGTAATAAAGGATTTAATTCGTATGTTCGCAGGCTTTATCTTCCCACGGCAACTTGACTCGGTCCCTATTTTGCGAGCTATCGCATTCTTCTCCTCACATCCAGTCACAACGCGACAATCTTTCTCTTCCTTCCACTTTGAAGCTCTTTTTGGGTGGATATAAAGGCATATAAAAAAAGAATTTAGATTACCCAAATGCTCCATTTTATATCTAATTTACGATTTGTCGTTTTTAGTGTGTGAAATATCACACTTTGAATGGACATGGACTACATTGATAGTCTATTTTTTGTAATATAGTGGTGATTAATTTGCTGCTTTCAGGGTCTTTGCCAAAGTCATAACAACCAAAGGTAGTGTGGAAGAATATGCTGCTAAGTAATGTGTAGAAGGGTTAGGAGAGCAGTATCCTATCTTAAAGCCGATACTGCAAAACAAAGTTATAACTTGTCGACTCCGGCGCAACCAAACTGTCATGTGGGCAGTTAAACTAAATATTGAGCTTCTAAGACTTGAGCCAAGCCTAACACTTATATACGTTAGTTCTCACCAGGTGGGATGGATTAAATTATTCAATCTACAATAGAAAAAAATGACGTTTGCATAACAATGGAGTGAAAGAGTTATTTGCATTGTTTACATCCTCTGTTTTAATGCTGGCTTGAACATGCGGGCGTTTTTATTTAACATTAGTCTTTTGACATGTCTACGACTTCTACATACTTTTCGTCACTAATTTAGGCTATTTTTAGTTCCGAGGTTTTTTCGGTTAGCTGGATAAAATTGATCCATTAATCTATGCAATGTGTAAGCTGAAGTATAGTGTGGTTATATGAACATCCCCACACCTCTCTAAACTACAACTTAAGAGTTTATGCTCTTTCATTGAGCAGTTTAGTAGTTCTAAGGCGTTGACATCTATTGTACTGTTTCAGAAAACTAAACAGGTTAATTTAACTCGAGGCGGATATCGAAGTGCTAAAGAGGCGTGAAAATTTGCCTTAGTCAATACTCTTAAAGTGCGTGCTTGCAAACATTAGGCATGATAACATCAGTTCACCACAAAATTCGTCCGTACAAACAGCCATTCAAAGAGGCAATAAAAATTTAACCTTTAAGACATTATTCAGAAATAAATGGCAAGAATGCATTGCAGTTTGGGTTATTTGACCGCAAAAAATTTGCATCCCATTAGTGAATGTTTCAGCACGATAGACTATCCTCTGAACAACTAATTTACGGCCAAATATCACAGCCGGAAGACAAAAGCCTTCAAACTCCGTAGTTTTGAGACTCTTGTGCACTATAACTTCGAACGATTTCTAATTTTAATGCTTTAATCCGAGATGCAATTGTCTATAACAAAAGGTTTGCTTTAGTATGCATTAAAAAGAAACCTTTTAATCGCACTTCAAAGGATAAAGTGTTGAGGAGGAAGAAAATAGACTGCCAATGAGTCCTCGCCATTAAAATCCAGTCCCATGATGGGCTTTATCATTGGTCTCTATCGGAGCTGCTGAGGACGTGACAGTATTGATGACATAAAACGTTTCCTGGCTTGCTTGTGGGTTCTGCATTCCCCTATTTGCAATTTTCAACTCCTCGCAGCAATCCTCATCTATACCCGTCTGCCTCAGTAATCATTGTAAATCCAGCGCGAAATTTTTGTGTTAGATATAGATGACATCGATTAAGAATTATTCAAGAAGTCGCGCTAGCACTTTGCTTCCGTTCTTCCCTTGTGTCAAATCGACCACTATAATCAGCTGTGCCTTTATCTGCAGAAAATGGTTAAGTGTAGTTTTACAACATTGCAAATGGGGCAAATGTACTCCGTGTCGTAGCCTAATGCAATTTTCTTCGAGCTAATTAAAAAAAAGTATGGAAACGAAAGGTAGAAATTTTATCTAACTTTCCAATAAAGGTAGACAGATATACTCACATGTATGATGGTAAAGTAAAACTAATGGCAACCTAGGTAACACAGCACGCATTTCCTCAATCTATTTGCATTCACATTTATTACGGTTGTTGCCCTTGTTGGTTGCTCATTGCCTTTATTTAGGAGGATGCCTTTGTCGAGAAAGGCTATGACGTTGGGGATTGTGCAAACTTATTTCCACCAACGAGGCCAGTTGAAGGCTCGGAGGGAGTGCTTAAGTAAAGTGTCATCGATACGCTGACAAGCGATCGTCATTGATGGGAAAAGTTATGAAAGTTTTCACTGACACACAGTTGTGGAAGTCCACTGGACTCGCCGTATAGGTAGCCAACCTTAAGGATGCAGTACCAAGGACTCAGGTTGCATTTGCAATTGCACAAGTGGGATAAGTAGGCCAGTATCACATTAATGCAGTACCTGACTAACAAAATACAGCATCTTCGCCTGTTCCGTCACCTCTTAGATGGAACCGATCCTGATTCGAGCGGCGGCTATTGCGGTCACTGCGACGATTTCAGAAGAGGTGTAGACGTTGGGCAATGCAGTCTACATCATGCTAAGATTTGTTCTGATCAGTTTAGGTGCCTCTTTCTTAAGGTTTACCTGCTTCTTCTTCTTCACTTACCATTTCCGCTCCAGCTTCCACCTCCTCTCTACCGCCACATACTCTGATCTTGTCAACCTCGTGTCTACCGTTACCATCACTGTTAACGGATGCCTATTTTGATCAATGGCTTCCTGCCATATTTGCAATTGATAAAAATTTTATTAGTGAAGAGCTTGGGCTTCCTGTCAATGAGTAACTTGTTAGGCTCAAAAAAGCGTAGGTGCCTCAGAGCCACCTAAGTTACGCGTCCCAAATAATTGATGCATCAATCTTCCCAAAGACACGAGAAAAGTATTAAAAAAAGGTGCCTTATCATTAGAATTCACTTCAGCATCCGTATTATAAAGCAATACTGCGATTGATTACATATACGCTCAAGTTACCACAGGTTTGTTGCCTTGTAAAGTGGCCTCTGAGCCATGCCAGAAGGCACCCGGGGAGCTAAATAGGCTTGCTTGCTTCTAGACTATCAATGGCATCTTCTGGAGAATGCGATGGATAACAAGTTCAAGGGGAGTTGACTGTTGCATCAGGAAAGCCAAGTAAAAATGAAAACTATCATTATTTGCAATTTTTACAATTTTGCACAAGCAGCTGCAGTGCTCTGTAGAAGAAGGCAATTCCAACAGTGGAATCTTTTCATGGCATGGAAGTTTGTGAACAGGGGGCAATATAGGAAAACTGCTATTTCGTCAGGTTTATTGCACACAACGAGGAAATTGCATTTAAACGACTCACCGATTAATATGCCAAATCATTGCACAGTGGCCTTGTGTTGGTGTATTGGACTCTGACAAAGCATGGCTGTCGCGCGGAATATTAAAGGCCAATCAGAAGAGGCAGTTTCGTCCAATCACATGAGATCAACTGTACGATTGGCTAAAGGGTTGGATTTAATGTCAGGCGTGATTCGACGGCTTGCGGTGGGCAGCATTACTCATGCGCATAGAAGCACTGTAGCTTTACACAAGGCTGCAAATCTTCGTAGTCAATATACTATGGTAGTCAAACCCAATTTACGTGCCTTCGTATTTGAATGCATACTGAAACAAATGGAAAGATAACGTTTCCAAATTAAAGCGGATTTGTGGTTTAGGGAATCAATCATTCTGTCTAGCTTAAATAGATCGACAGAAGGGACTTGGAAGATTAAGTTCTGCTTGTAGAGGCAATAGTCTCTGTGCACTCAAAATAACAGCATGATTAACTTTTGTTGAGGTGAAAGAGCGAAGGCAACTAATTTGGATGTATTACGCGTCGATCGAATGTTGTGCATCTCTTATCCAAAGTTCAGCCCAAATCGGAGTGTCCTTTGTTAGAATTGAAATAGAGTGAGACTAAAGAATCCATTTTTATTTAAATGACGGAAATACTCAAGACATTTTACAAATAAAAGTGAGTATAGTTTAACGACAAAATTTATTAATCGAATCGTATGGAATGTATGTAATTGAGATAGTGTAATGGATCATGTTATAACCCCAGCAAATGTAAGATTAGGTCTTATTCCTAGGCGTATTCTTGTCATCTGCTGTGAGAGCAGTTTTTGTAGCTTCCTCCTTTCCTTTTCCACTGATTCAAATGCATCAGACTTGTCATAAATTTTAAGCGCATTCAACATGATAAAAAACAAAATTTATTTCATGATGGGCCGGAATACAAAGCAATGTCAAAGAAATTTATGATTGCCATTTACAGTAGAATCGTTGCAGTTATGCTATCATAAGTTTCTTCTTTCTCGCAGAACTAAACCCTACCAGATTTTATCAGTAGTAATGATAAAGCTTTCAAGTAACGTTGCCGGATGGTTGATGGCATGGACTATATCTTGCAGTTTGCTATTCGGTTCTACATCCTTTCAAATGACGAGATACGTAAAAGCAAATCATGAAGAAGGCGTCAAGAAAATAATACTTCATGTGAGCTACGCAAAACACCAAGAAATATTACTTGGGGGTTGCAGACATTCTTAGCACGCTTAGAACCTTCAAAAATAAGCAAATATCTGTCGTGGAAATGAGCACAATTCTGGCATTTAGCACGTAACAAGTTTTGAGAATCATCCTGTACCAAAACTTCGCTCTGATAATCTCCAGCAATGTTAAAGGTTCCGTGAGTACATGACAAGGAAAAGAATACCCCCTTATTTGGATCTAGTAGAATGACCATTACACAGCCTTCAACGATTTTTTGACATTACGTCTCTGATTGATAGGCTCTATTGTATTTTCAACTAAAGTGCTTAAAGCTGATTGTGCTCGAGAATAATGATCTACTAAAACAAGGCAGTAAAGTGTACTGCGCAAGCAAGCGAATTTTTCCAAATATTTTAAATGAAAACCAATGCAAATTGCTTATCCTCATCAGCAATCGGAACTGGCTTCAAGCAGATAGTTGAGAAGCCAAACATCACACACGAGGCAATCGCTGGGACATCAAGGAACCACTATTGTGCAGTATAAAGCCACTTTCTTCCTCCACCAAAGGCATAAATAATTTCGGTAGGGCAGAAGAAATGATTAGAGACGAGCTTTCAAAGATATCAAAGTCACCATGAGCTCTTATAAGAAGGAACATAAGTCTGCATCGACCACAGGAAGCTGAGTAGAGTAAAGAAAAAGTATGCTTTCTGGCTACCTTACATAAATGATTCATTAGACTCCCATCACGGGTAAAAGTGGTTTTCCACTTTAAATATAAATTCAGGATACTCTAAAGTAGATTTGATGGAAAGGGAAGAAGAGAAGATATTAAATCATATTGTTAAACAAGTATTACAACCTTCAGACAATGTCTTTTGGACTCGGCAATGTAGCGGTAACATTCCAACGCCTTATGCAGACCGCACTAATCAGACTTTTTTGAGACATTTTGTAGCATAACTAGATAGCTTTATTATATTCAGCAAGGGTGCCCAAGCGCATGATGCCAATCTAAGATTACTGTTAGTGGACCTGATTAAGCCAGGTTTGGCTCTAAACACTAGGTAGTGTCTATTCATGCATTGCCCTATCAACTCCTTAGAACAAATACCTCGTCAGACGAGATGGCACTTTCCAATGTACTAAGCAGCAATCAGAGTGACCTACCTATTTTTTCATGATTGGCAGGTCACGACCTACATTTGCTAAGAACCCAAGCCCATATCTTCTCCCGACTTTTTCGTCTTTGGATGCTCTGGTTAGCATGGTGCTTTTCAGCAAACAGTACTCTACAGAATTACTAAAAAAGTTTATGAAAAAGACAACTATCCACTCTGAATGCAATTATATGCATGAGAAACCAGATGACCAAAGCCAAACATCCAGACAGCCAATGCGGGCGGAAGCATTGTGTCATCTAGCATAACATCATCCAGCAGTGCGATGGCAATGTAAAGGCCTTCCATGAGAAAGTACAGTCTTTCCCTTGTGGTGCACTTCATGGTAAAATGACACGCTTCTGCACTGTCGAGTTGGATCCACTACGGAGGTTTTGGTTATTTCTTCAAATTATCATTCTCCTTGTGTCTCATTTTTCTGATTTTTGCTCCCAGTCGTCTATTTTGAGCAGTTTTTTGGAAACTTCGCTATAGTTCTATCCATTCTTCTTACGCACAGTCGAGGACTTATGCAACTGCCATAGCGCATAAAAGTGCTGAAAGTTCTTTCAAATGTGAATGGTCGGAGATGGAAAAACCTATTCTGTGTAAGTCACTTTATTCGCATAAACATGAATGCAGAAATCAGTGTAGCAGTACCTTCATGTAATTTTCATAATGTGAATTCAGACTTCACAATGCCTTTTCAATGAAATTGAGGTCAGTACTCTACTGGCTGTCAATAAACAACTCCTATTCACTGAAAATAAAAAGTTATGTTAAACTTTGTACTGAGACAGCCTGTGGCGGAAAACTACATTGCAACAAAATAAGGCTTGTCCACAGAACATCATTTTGTTTATGTAATCACATGAACTACTTCATTTTGGCAGGCATCACAACCAAAAATGGAGCCATTTAATAACACTGTCGAAAGATTCAACAAGCACATCTTATAGTATAAAAGCTCCCTACACTTTTACCACTTCCACATAAGCATCTGAAGTAGACCTACCTATAGCATGCATTAACAACATTTTACGGTCAACATAGCAGAGCATGCAATTTGTGGTAGGGAAATAATGTTGTAATTAGGTCAAACTACAAGCCGAACGTTAAGCGTAGATAGTGCGTCGAATCCACCATCGAGATAGGTACTGCCTTAAAGCTCTGTGTTTGCAAAAAAACTGCACCCAAACATATTTTTGCATTGTAAGAGACACTACTCTGGGCGTACTTGCATTCAGTGGGGTTGCGTTTTCGGAAGTGAGGAGGAAGGGGATGGCATGATGGTTTGCTTACTAGAGTTCGATGATGTACGTAAGGTGGACAGTGTAACGATGTGGGTAAAATGCATATTAGGTGAAATAGTTTTAAAGGAATGTGCAGATG